ACAAAACCCCATCTTTCCAGTTTATTCAAGTAGATCTATTGGTTTAGTAGCGCTTCCCCCTCCCCAAAAAAATTCTTTATTTTTTCTGACTTGTATCTATTCTTTTTTCTCTACGGCCCATTCCCCATCGGTTTTTAAGGATAAAGATTGATCTCTGAGTCGGTTGGGGTTGGTATGGGATAGCGATCATGTTCTAGATGAATGAAGTGAATCGGTCATGTTACGGATTTACAATAAATGTGATGAGTACTCTGGTGAAAACCACAGAGGAATTAGTTTGATCAAAATTATGTCCGAAATTCCGTCGATAGTCTGTCGCACGTGAAGTGTTCACGCGTGAGAATCAGGCTGGTTTAAGATCTGGTCGAGTTTGTACCGACCACATTTGCATTATTTGCCAAATCCAGAGACCTAGCATGATGGTGTGAAAAGCCTAGCCAGAAGACCCGGTCGTATAGGTTGCGTTAGGTTCCCTGGATGGTTATCTGGGGATCATGATAACCGATTTTTGGAAACACTGGGTGATATGGCTGAGTATCGCAAACAGCGGTGCTCATGCACCCGCGCATTATCCTTGCAACCTTGGTCCGTGAGAATTGTCTCTTCCCTCTGACTTTACTCTCAACCCTCCATGCTTCTTTCTGCTCTTTTATCCAGATGGGCAGTCAAAAGACGGCAAACAAAACCGCCGCACGAAGGTGCATGGTTAATGGTTGTAAAAAGGGAAACTGAAACTACGAGCATATTGGGATTGGCTAAAATCACCCGTCCTTACTAGATTGCCTCCCCCCCTCCGCACTTTGTCGTCCTCGGTTTGAATCCGCTCATCGCATATTCCTCTTTTGTTGGTTCTATCTCACTCACTGGCTCCACAGCGCTGTTTTTCCGGGGCTAGAACCGCACGTAACTCACCAATACGAGTTGCGATCGGCTCAAACTTCCCGTGATTGTTATGCAGTACACCATATCTATTTCACCTGTTCACCAAGCTTGGCAATTTGTTTGCAAACGTTTCATTACCGGCCGAGATGACATCGTCAGTGCTTGTGAAGTGGCACAAGTGCCACACAGTGGCAAACCCTATAGTACACGGAATTCACCACGAGGGACCACCCTATCGTGATTTGCTTGTCCACCAAGTCTTAAAACTTGTAAGCTCTGTGGTTACGTTTATATATTTTGCAACTTTTCGCATAGAAATAAGTTTCATAGGGAATAGAGAGCAACTAAAACCGGCGCACGAAAGTGCATGTTTTATGGTTGTAAAAACTGAAACTGAGACTGAAACATAGGGGACACGTTTATGTGCACGACATTCTGGTTAGTTCAACACGTGAATCTTTCTCGATACCACAGTTTGGGATGCTCCGATTTTTGATCGCCTGAACCGAATTCGCCCGCAAGACAACCTGTGTAAGTGTTCATATAGATCTGAGCTTATTTTTCCTTTCTATCTCTCTAACTCCCACCTTGTCATAGATGTGAAATCACCATCCAAGTCGTCTACTCCAGCCTCGCCGGGTACGGCCGCCACATCCACGGCACCATCCACACCGACAACACCATCTGTCGGACCAGTCGCAGCAAGCACCTCTGTTCCCAGTCCCACATCGACCAAAGTTAGCACTTCTTCACCAAGCGGTCGACCGAGCAATACATCTGCAACGACCGCGTCCGCTCAGGCCCTAGTTCGGCCAATTCTTGGAGCGCAATCGGTCGAGGATGCTCGGAAGCTGTTGGCTCTCAGTGAATACCAGAAACGTCAACGCCATCACCGGTTGCCCGCATTCACTTTTCCCACACATCGTCCAACTCAGTTTGTTTTTGTAGCTCCTCCACCTACTGGGCAGACTAGCCACACAGGTGTTGGTCTAGGACAGTTACAGTACGGACATGCGACTGCCCATGTATCTCAGTCAAGCACCGGACAGTCTCATGTGTCAAACGTGAACTGGTCTAGTAGTCCACCGTATGCTGCTCCTTGTCCCGTCACGTGTCCCGCACATTCTACACCATCTCAAGCAGTCGGTCGACCGGTTCAACCAACCTGCTATACTTTGGTGGGTAGTAAAACACTCCTGCTGGACAATCTGATCCCGATGCCTCAACGCATCGGTCCCAGTGGCCCAATGCGATCTGCTTCAGGTACTCCGGTTCAATTCGCCAATCAGCAACAATCACAACGTCAAGCGACACATTACGCTGTTCCGTCCGCTCATCCGTATTCGCACACACACTCCTTTGTACACCAGCAACAACAACAATTACAACAACGTGGTCCATCTGGTCGTTCACAGCATGGTCTCAACACTCAGGCACAACAACAACAACAACAACAACAACAACAACAACAACACTATGCACAACATCATCCGCACCACCACCATTCGTCAGTCGGCTCGACTACAAATCCCTCTGTAAGTGTACCTCCCGTTTCTCTCTCTCGTACACACACGCACTCCCCGATTCATAACATAGTCGGTATTATTTTTGTTTATCTTGTTCAAGTGCACCAGAATAGAATTTGTTTGTACCGTGACAGTCGAGTACCTCAAGTTGCCTTCTCCCCGTCACCGTCATCAATTAGGAATATATATACTTAATATGAGATATTCTATAAAGACTATCAAGTCACATTTTTTGCGGTTAGTAACATCTAACCCACCTACAAAACATTGAATCATAGCATTGATTCTTCAGTGGACTGGCTCTGAAGGAGCCGTCTATCCAAAAGCCACCCGGTGTTGCAAACAAGGTTATTGTCACGGAAATACACTTCCTGAGTACAATTATATGAATGACCTGACAAAAGGATTACCTGACGAGCTGCAAGAACCGCGAAACCGGTCTTGTATGTATGATGATAAAACTATCCTGGATGCACTTCCCCGGTTACGTAATTGTCTTAGTCCACTGGAAAATCTCACAAGTCCAGTTACGTGTTGGTGGTGGCGAGGATACAGTTTTTTTTTCATTTTCAAAAATGATTTGCCTTGGTCAATCTTAGACCTTTTAGCAAAAGCGGAACCTTTCAAATGGTAACCCAGTCACCCAACCGAGTTGAAGTCTATTCTGTATTAAACTAACTCCACATCGGGGTCAGTTTCTTGGCCCGGGTTTGCTGGACAGAACGTTTTACATGAAGAGTAATGCCTTGGGCTGTCCATATTGTTGGGCTTTCTCTCTCTCTGATATGTTGTCAGTGTTTATCTGTCTTTATCAATACAACAAGAAGACCTAATCGATCGGTGAGAGTGCATTGCTACCAGATAAATATTTTTGATTGCTACTCGATCTATGCTGCTTTCATCCCATGCCCTTGTGTGCATATGTTTCCTAAGTTATCGTGTCACAGAATAAGACGAATTCCGTCAACTACGGTCATTTTTCTGCAAGAGGATGTTGGCTCACCGTCGTGACTTTCACCGTACCTTTACTCATCTCCGACTGTTAACAACCAGGCCTGCACATGCCACGGAACGAAGGGGTATGCTGCTGCTGAGACAAGCATAAGAGTAGCCTAACCAAATGTGTCTTCGTGTTATGTGGGAACCCATACAGCAATCAAAATGGCTTTCCAAACCACTGGAATCAACCAGGCTACTTATCATTTCAGCGGTGATGAATGTTTATCTTCTATGCTGCCGCACCATTTGCTTGTATAGTGCGTGCATACACATTCTTTAAATTTGTCTTCAGTCCGCACACACCTCAGTTAAATTTGCTCTTGTTCCTGGCCTGCACAGAGAGAGAGAGAGAGACGCACTGACGCGTTAACGTACCTACGCAACTTTCGATCATAATTGCCTTGACTACGTGGTCTCTGCGATCAGTGCAGTTTACTTGAGTTGTTTCCAACTGAAGACTGTTCCATCACTTTTGCTCCACTTCTCTAGGTGGGATGGCGACGAATAGGTAGTTTATATGTGCTTTATCAGC